GGCTCACACCGAACAGCAAGCTATAAAGGGCCCCAAAATGAATAGTGTAAAACAATTCAAACTGGAAAACCAACGGTCTAATCTATATAAAAAACGAGAAACAACTATGAACCACACCAACAAAGATAACCACCGAACAACAGGCTCATGACTTAGGATAGGTGCATAAACATGCAGCGGGTTTAAACGTTTTAACAGGCGCCAACCTTCACCCTAACCTGAGACAGTAGTGTAACATTAAAACATAAAAAGACACATGTTTATATTTTTTTATATTGCAAATAAAGAGAGTGAAGATATCAAGGGACAATCAAAAACATAAATCAAATAAAAGTAAAAAACACCATGGCTAAAATTAAAAACTACAAACAGACAAAAAACAATAGCAAAACCGTGGATAAACTCATGTGACCTGGAAGGGTAGGCAGTTCTTGCTCTCCATGTGACACTCATGTGATCCGGTAGGGTAAGCAGTTCTTGCTCTCCATGTGATATAATTTAACGGGTGTTTTATTTATAAAGCATTATATAATCTGCTTAATGTGATACAATATACTGCTCTTTATGAGTGTAGTATTATGCAACTATTAAAAAAGTGGAAAAAATCCCATCGATGAGGCTTTCTAATTCAAAAACAACAGAAAATCTCACCCAATTTTGACATTAACAAGTAATGCAACATTATCGATGTTTGGTTTCCTTTATCATTCGTTTAACTTGCAAACTACTAAAAACAAGTTGAGGAAAAGGAAGAGTTGGAACTTTTTAACTTAGGAAGTTGACAGAGACAGAAATGTCTCGGCAAATAGCAGCAACCTCATTACTAAACAAAAGCTAGTAGAGATTAATAATTTTGAACTACCTGTCACAACTATGCTTTATCTAATGAGATCCATTTTCTTTTTCCAGAACTTTTTATTACTGGAGAAGTTATTTCAGCAAAGAGCCTACTGTCACACTATTCGTCATCTGTTAACAGACATTTACTACCAGAAAAGGAAATTATAGGAACAACATTACAACCAACACAGCTATTTTCATCATTTGTAAGCTCAGAAAACTTTGCTACAATATCAGTTGATAGTAGTTATGGGTCCCATTCTTTGGCTATTGAGAAGATAACTGAAAACAAACACACAGATATCTTATTATCATCAATTACTGACAGCGTCGTCACAGTAGAAAATAATAGCCTGGTTTTAAAAGATGGAAATTCTGAACAGTCACCAGGTACAGTCTTTTCTAAATTTTAAGTGCACGAGGATAAATGGTACCAATAAACACAAATACTCATTTGTGACCTATAATGATAAGGAAAATATTATGCCAATATCATTGAGACAAACAATCCAAGGTTGTGTGACCTTTGAAGACCTTGACATCTGTTGCTTATAATTATATATAAAAAATGCGTTATCCAATATAAACTTTTTATACTTGAAGAGACGTGTTATCATCAAAATACAAAGTTTGTAGGATTTTGTAAATGAACCATATTCAACACAGTTCTTAACAGTAAACAATGATCTGATATCGCTGTAGTGACAATTATAAAACAGAAAAAACGCTATCATACCGAAAGTGTAACACCACTAATTCGGATCCGGTCAGAAAGCACATACCAGAGAGTAGTACATGTTTAACACAAAATAGTTCCTACGCATGGGTGTAACTTTCAAAATATGTAAAATATTGTGGTAATTTTGGTATCAAATGAAAGCTGAATGACTGGTGATCATTGTAGAACACTTTTGACTGATAATTTTGAAAAGTAAAAAAATTGCATGAAATTTAAAAAGGAGGGTACATTTTGCCTGTTTGTCAGATCTGAAGTACCTGTTTTGGTACATCCGAAGTTCTGGGAACCAGTTCTCTCTGGTATGTTAATTTTTTTCAGTACAAGACACCATAAGGTGTTGCTTTGACATACAATGATTGTCACTTTATTTGAACTTAAGACAAAAGAGCTGTGCCTGCTTGAAATTGAGGAATTTAACATAGAAAGCAATGGATCCATGAATTAGTGGTGTACTTCATGCAGCAGCACACTTCATGTTGTCTTTATTTAGAAACAGGACGAAAAGCGAGGCTCGCCGAGCTTTTCTCCTGTTTCGTAGCGAGTACAAATAAATTTTATATTTTCCGACAATGTACATATATTGTTTTTATCCTGAAATTTACAGCCAACACTTGAAACTTTAGTTGTTAAAATATAAATCATTGTCTCTAATTTTTCAAAGAAATCAACATAGTTAAAACGCGGACCGCGAAGAGGACCCCAAAATGAACTGGTACGCAAAAAGAAATATTCACATTACCGCTTGCTCAACATGGAAGCGGTGTAATAGGAGACTTTATTTGTACAAGTACAAATAAAGCAAAAATTTATTTGTCCACCTGTTATCTGTACAATAGTTAGCTGATTGCAGGATAAAGTTTCGTGTAATGTCGATTTCATGTTACGTCTCTTCGCTTCACAACCTGGGTCACCTTTAAGGACAGAAAAGAAGCTTTATTTCTGTATTTACATTTTAGTAACTATAAGTAAGGTGCAATATGAAAACAATATAAGATCAATGTCAGAAAAAATATCATTTTTGTTTGTTATCGACACGAAACTGTTGAAGGGATCGGAAACCCTCGCCCTTCCCCAATTTCTTAGCCTCATACAAAAAAGTTTATATTTTCTGACATTGACCCAATATTGTATATAGATAAAACTTTCAATGTATACATATGTCGAAATCAATACAAAAAGACAAATTCTAATAACAATGTGTTGGTGTGTTGCTATTGTTGTCTCCGTGAAAATTTTTCTTTCAATTCTAACACAATGAACTGTTTGCAACCATCTGATTATTGTGTCCAACCCCGATGTGTGTCATCTCTTCTATCTAGAAAGAGAAGAATGCTAAATGTTGATTATTTTAGCACATCGTTACTATTATTTCGATTTTGATAGGACATTTGTAGTTAAAGTCCTTGTCAAATGACACCTTTACGTAAAACATAGAGGACACTTTTACCCATTCGGCACACCACGATCTAGGATATAGAGTAGCGTAATCAGCCGAGGTTTGCAGATTGCTCTTTTAATGAACCACATTAATCGTAGAAAAATACATGAAAAGAAAATGAATAAATGAATAAATCAGTCAATCAACCAATTAATCAATCAAAACAACTAAAGTAAGATATGAAATCAATGGAAAAAGAAATGCAAATTTTCCATATTTCAAAGAAAGCTATCGTTGTTGTTTAGTCCAAACATTCTATCGTCCATTCCAGTCCATTAAAAAGAAAGCAATTTCTACTGAAATCATTTATCATTTTGTAACCGCTCCGGCGTTTTTATTGGCAATGAATTTAAATTTTTGCCCAACAAGGCCCGACCTTTCTAAATATTTCAACATCTCACAATCACTTTGAAATGTTTAAATTTTTTGGTTGTTTTTCTTTTTTCATACAGTTAATCATTAATATATTCACATACATCCGTAAACATTAGAGACATCATTTTCCAACTCTTTTTTGTTTGTTTGTATATAAAAAAATGCACAGGTTCTATCTTTATTTTTCATAATTTTTATGTATTATGCGTTAAAATAAATCATCTATAAAACCATTTTAAATTCAATTTAAGCAACAAATATTCTTAAATTTAATGTATAAAAATTTGGATGAACTATTGCTGTGAGTATCAAATTCAGATATCGAAATTGCATAAAAAAACTGCAGCCATGTCATGAATAACTCCTTTTTTTCTGGAATGGCTTGACCTTAAAGTTTCGTAGTATTAAATTTTAAGAGAGAAAAAAGAATTCTTCAGTAAAGAGTAACCATTTCCTTCACTTTCTTAACCACATCTGGAATTTTTACTCAAAAAAGTAAACATCCTTCCAGCAAAAAGTCCATGAGAATTTAAAATATTAGATATTTGTTTTCATAATGTTTAAGACTTTTAAGACTGCTCACAATTTTTTTTTAAATATGCAAATAAAAGTGAAAATAATATCAGCTGAATCTTTTTGTTTAAAAGGTGATAAAAAAAAAAACAGAGTTCCAAAGTCCCCCGCGTTGCACATATTTTATCAATCCAAGGGCAATAACTAAAAAACTTTTTACACATATCTTTAATAGAGAAATGAGAGTCAGGGCTTTTTATAGCTGACTATGCAGTATGAATTTTGCTCATTTATTGAAGGCCGTACGGTGACCTATAGCTGTTTACTTCTAAGTCATTTGGTCTCTGGTGGATAGTTGTCTCATTGGCAATCATATCACATATTCTTATTTTTATATATATTAAAGTTATTACTTCTCATTATGAATACTTTCGAAATTAGACACGTCAAAAAGAACGCATAATTCATATCATGTGAAAGCAGTTGAAATGCTGATTATATTTCATCTGACTACTGGTGCACTAACTATATGCCAATCTGACTCATCGTAATAAACAAATGAATAGATATATAATATAATGTTATTTTACATTGATATGACAGTATGAAGATATATATATAAATATATTACCCATTTATTGCAATATATCAATAGAAAATGCCACCTCTATTGCGTATTTTGTTATAATTATATATCGAAATATCGTAATATCTATACATCATAATAAATTATTGACTGTCAATTAATGATCATACATTTGTTACAAGATAAAATAGACACACCCACGGTGAACAGCTGGGTAAATTTGCTAAAAGGGAAAAATTGAATTTTTCTTTATTCTCAAACGATAGTTTTTCGCTTGGCTGACATAATTTGATTCCTATATTAAATCAATGAGGGCGTTTTTGGATTAAATACATTTATCATTTATGTAAATATGATAATCAGGTTTAACATATGTATTGTATCGATTCAAATATTGAGCATTGTAACCAAACAAGTAACAAGCGAGGTGTTGTTAGTCGATATTTGTCTACATCAACTTACTACTGACCTAGAATTAAGACCCTAGTTTAGTATGCATGATTTTGCCAATGGATGTTAAGCCAACAACCTATCAATCAATCAGTTAACTGTGTGATTTGGATCCGCCGTTAGTTTAAATCTCTGACTGATTCATTTGTCATATTCCAAGTCACCGTTTTACAATTGTTTTAACTGTTTAGGGCTTTCCTTACCGAATAAGTATTGTGATGCAATCCGGAGATTGACATTTAGATTCTTTGGTCCTAAGTCTACAGGGAAGAAGGATATGTTCTCTTTAAAACAAATAAAATTGATTGAGGACCGTCTATTGACAAGTGCACATCCATTTCTCCTTTGTTCGGACGGTTTCGAAATATTTTTGACAGATTTTTAAGTTTCAGCTGAAAACAATTTTTAAATTTTACAAATACCGGTATATTTTTTTGGAAACTATAGCCAAATTATTATGTTCTTTGTTCACCATCCTCAAGGTATCGCATGTGTTTGGCTTTCTAATCTGTTTGTTTCAATCTTACCTGAATGGTTTTTGACAGAAACAGAAACATTCGCTTTTGGTATACCAGTCCTCTAAACACTAAGAGGTCAAGATTGAGCAACAAGAACCCAATCAAGAAGTGGATGTGAACTTAAGTGCTTCCGGTCCCAAAAGTGTGATACCCCGCTCGATCTTTTCATGTAAAAGTCTTGTGGAAAGTCACATTCCGTATTGCGATAAATGGGGAGACAGGGCAAAAAATATCGTGTTATATTGAAATGTATTGACCTTGAGTATTTTTTCATGGACAATATTTTTCAAAATTAGTCTTGAATCGTGGATACGACAAGAACGTATCAGTTGTCACCAATGACACAATAATCAATTCATTTAATTATTTGTTTATTTCAGTGGCAGCACCAACATCAGACCTTGACAAATATAATGAAAGCATATCCTCATCAAGACCAATACTTCTACAACAGGAACAACATATATTAGCAACACAAGATAGTTATTCCACATATTTTCCTGCATCACAGTCAGATACAAATATGCATTTACTTCCTTCCACAGCCAGTTCAATTCATTTGCTACTATCTCCTACAGAAAACTCAGTTTCCGCTAACGATAGCGTGCTGCTTAACTCACAACCATCTAATACGATATCAAAAAATAACACATCTACATTAAGAAAAACCCCGCTTGCAATTAATGATACCTTAAGGAATTTTCTACCATCAACATTTGCAACTATAAATCATTCATCTTTATCCAATGAAGCCTTTTCAACTCTACTTACATCACCATTGCATAATACAGATACATTATCAACTATATCAACAGATAAATCACAATTCTTTAATTCAGTTTCTATTAACACATTCATACCGACACCCCTTATCACAGAAATATTCTCATCTACACCTGTTTTTAATGACACACCAATTCTAGATGACACATTGCTGTTTACCTCATTACAAAATGCTATACAAACATCAGAACAAGTATCTAAATCCACATTAACATCTACCTCATTATCAAATGACAATTCATCATCTACTTCATTGCTGAATAACATAAATACATCAAAACCTTTCATACAATTAGACACATTATCTTCAATGTCGTCCATAAATTCTACATCTACCCTTATATCAGAAAATACATTTTCATCGTCACAGGACATACATATGGATTTTACCCCAGCAATCACAATAGGTACTGCATTGGTCATAAATGCCACAAAAGCGGCTTCACCGATAAATGATTCACCCGTCATGAATGTCTCAATTATCCCCCAACTAGAGTTGAGCATAAATACCCCAATAGATACGTCACTTGTGATAAAGGCTACAAAAGAAAGTTCATCAGTCATAAATGTTTCGACGACAGATGCTTCTTTGGTGATAAATGACAGGATAGATACTTCACCATTAATGAATGCTACAATAGAAACTTCATCGCTTTTAAAAACCTCTTTGGGTATCTCACCAGTAATGAATGCAATGACAGATACTTCATCCGTTATGAATGCATCAATAAATACTTCACCAGTGATGAGTTCCACGATAGAGCCATCATCAATGATGAATGATACGAAACTGACTTCACCAGATATGAGTTCCACGACAGAGTCTTCCATAGTGATGAATGATACAATAGAGACTTCACCATTGATGAGATCCACGATAGAGTCTTCACTGGTAATGAATGATACAATACAGACTTCACCAGTGGTGAATGATACAATACAGACTTCACCAGTGGTGAATGATACAATACAGACTTCACCAGTGATGAGTTCTACAATAGAGTCTTCATCGTTGACGAATGATACAATACAGACTTCACCAGTGATTAGTTCCACGATAGAGTTTTCAATGGTGATGAATGATACTCTACAGACTTCACCAGTGATGAGTTCCACAATAAAGTCTTCAATGGTGATGAATGATACAATACAGACTTCAACAGTCATGAATGATACAATCCAGACGTCACCAGGGATGAGTTCCGCAATAGAGTCGTCATCATTGGCGAATGATACAATACAGACTACTTCACCAGTGATGAGTTCAACGATAGAGTCTTCCCTGGTATTGAATGATACACTACATACTTCACAAGTAATGAATGAAACAATACAGACTTCATCAGTGATGAGTTCCACGATAGAGTCTTCCCTGGTGATGAATGATACAATGCAGACTTTACCAGTGATGATTTCCACGATAGAGTCTACATCATTGATAAATAATATAATACAGACTTCACCAGTGATGAGTTCCACGACTCAGTCTTTGATGGTGATGAATGATACAATACAGACTTCACCAGTGATAAATGAAACAGTACAGACTTCATCAGTGATGAGTTCTGCAATAGAGGTTTCATTATTGACGAAGGATACAATACAGACTTCACGATTGATGAATGATACCATACAGACTTCAAGAGTGATGAGTTCCACGAAAGCGTCTTCATCAGTGATGAATCATACAATACAATTATCACAAGTTATGAGTTCTACGATTGATTCTTCAATAGGGATGAATGATACAAAACAGACTTCACCAGTGATGAGTTCCGCAATGGAGTCTTCACCACTGTTTAATGATACAAAACAGATTTCACAAGTGATAAGTTCTACGATACAGTCTTCATCAGTGATGATTTATACAATACAGACTTCACCAGTTATGAGTTCGACGATAGAGTCTTCCCTAGAGATGAATGATACAATACCGACTTCACCAATGATAAGTTTCAAAATTGAGTCTTTATCAGTGATGAATGATATTATACAGACTTCACCAGTGATGAGTTCCGCGATTGAGTCTTCCCTGGTAATTAATGATACAATACAGACTTCATCAGCGATGAGTTCCACAATAGAGTCTTCCCTAGTGATGAATGATACAATGCAGACTTCACCAGTGATGAGTTCCACGAAAGAGTCTTCATCAGTGATGAATGATACAATACAAACTTCAACAGCAATGAGTTCCACGATAGAGTCATCATCAGTGATGAATGATGCAATACAGACTTCAACAGTAATGAGTTCCACGATAGGGTCATCATCAGTGATGAATGATACAATACAAACTTCACCAGTTATGAGTTCTACGATTGATTCTTCAATAGGAATGAATGATACAAAACAGACTTCACCAGTGATGGGTTCTGCAATAGAGTCCTCACCTCTGATGATGAATGATACAAAACAGATTTCACCAGTGATGAGTTCCATGAAACAGTCTTCATCAGTGATGAATGATACAATACAGACTTCACCAGTTATGAGTCCCACGATAAAGTCTTCCCCAGTGATGAAGGACACAATACATACTTCACCAGTGTTGAGTTCCAAAATTGAGTCTTCATCAGTGATGAATGATATAATACAGACTTCAACAGTGATGAGTTCCGCGATAGAGTCTTCCCTGGTGATGAATGATACAAAACAGACTTCACCAGTGATAAATGATACAATACAGACTTCACCAGTGATTAGTTCCACGATAGAGTCTTCCCTGGTGATGAATAACACAATAGAGACTTCAACACTGATAAATGATACAATAAAGACTTCACCAATGATGAATGATACAATACAAACTTCATCAACGATGAGTTCCACGAAAGAGTCTTCCCTAGTGATGAATGATACAATTCAGACTTCACCAGTTATGAATTCCACGATACAATCTTCATCAGTGATGAATGATACAATACAGACTTCACCAGTGATTAGTTCCACGATAGAGTCTTCCCTGGTGATGAATAACACAATAGAGACTTCAACACTGATAAATGATACAATACAGACTTCACCAGTGATTAGTTCCACGATAGAGTCTTCCCTGGTGATGAATAACACAATAGAGACTTCAACACTGATAAATGATACAATAAAGACTTCACCAATGATGACTGATACAATACAAACTTCATCAACGATGATTTCCACGAAAGAGTCTTCCCTAGTGATGAATGATACAATTCAGACTTCACCAGTTATGAATTCCACGATACAATCTTCATCAGTGATGAATGATACAATACAGACTTCAACAGTGATGAGTTCCACGATAGAGTCATCATCAGTGATGAATGATACAATACAAACTTCACCAGTGATGAGTTCTACTATACAGTCTCCATCACTGATGAATGATACAATACAGACTTCATCAGTGATAAATGATACAATACAGACTTCACCAGTGATGAGTTCCACAAAAGAGTTTTCACCAGTGATGAATGATACAATACAGACTTCAACAGTAATGAGTTCAATGAAAGAGTCATCATCAGTGATGAATGATATAATACAGACTTCACCAGTTATAAGTTCCATGATAGAGTCTTCCCTAATGATGAATGATACAATACAGACTTCACCAGTGATAATTGATACAATACAGACTTTACCAGTGATGAATTCTACGATAGAGTCTACATTAGTGATGAATGATACAAAACAGATTTCACCAGTGATGAGTTCCACGATAGAGTCTTCATCAGGAATGAATGAAACAATACAGACTTCACCAGTCATGAATGATACAATACAGACTTCAGCATTGATGAGTTCCATGATAGAGTCTTCCCTAGTGATATATGATACAATACAGACGTCACCATTGATGAGTTCCACGATAGAGACTTCAAGAGTGATGAATGATACAATTAAGAATTCACCAGTTATGAGTTCTACGATAGATTCTTCAAATGTAATGAATGATACAATACAGACTTCACCAGTGATGAATTATACATTACATATTTCACCAGTCATGAGTTCCACGATACAGTCTTCATCGGTGATGAATGATACAAAACAGATTTCAGCAGTGATGAGTTCCACAATACAGTCTTCACCAGTGATCAGTTCTGCAGTAGAGTCTTCATCATTGACGATTGCTACTATACAGACTTCACCAGTGATGAGTTCCACGACAGAGTCTTCCCTGGGGATGAATGATTCAATACAGACTCCACCAGTGTTGAATGATACAAAACAGATTTCAGCAGTGATGAGTTCCACAATACAGTCTTCACCAGTGATCAGTTCTGCAGTAGAGTCTTCATCGTTGACGAATGCTACAATACAGACTTCACCAGTGATGAGTTCTGCAATAGAGTCTTCACCACTGATGAATGATACAAAACAGATTACACCAGTGATGAGCTCTACGATACAGTCTGCATCAGTGATGAATGATACAATACAGACTTCATCAGTGATGAATGATACAATACAGACTTCACCAGTGATGAGTTCCACAAATGAGTTTTCATCAGTGTTGAATGATACAATACAGACTTCAACCATGATGAGTTCCATCATAGAGTCATTATCGGTAATTAATGATACAATACAGATTTCACCAGTTATGAGTTCCACGATAGACTCTTCCCTAGAGATGAATGATAAAATACAGACTTTACCAGTGATGAGTTCCACGATAGAATCTACATCAACGATTAATGATAGAAAGCAGAATTCACCAGTGATGAGATCCACGATAGAGTTTTCATCAGGGATGAATGAAACAATACAGACTTTACCAGTGATAAATGATACAGTTCAGACCTTACCAGTGATGAGTTCCGCAATAGAGTCCTCATCATTCACGAATGATACATTACAGACTTCACCAGTGATGAATGATACAATACAGACTTCACCAGTTATGAGTTCCACGATAGAGTCTTTCCTAGTGATGAATGATACAATACAGACTTCAACAGTTATGAGTTCCACGATAGAGTCTTTCCTAGTGATGAATGAAACAAAACAGACTTCACCAGTGATGAGTTCCGCTGTAGAGGTTTCATCATTAACAAATGCTACAATACAGACTTCACCAGGGTGGAGTTCCACGATAGGGTCTTCCCTGGTGATGACTGATACAATACAGACTTCACCAGTGATGAATGATACAATACAGACTTCATCCGTGATGAATGATACAATACAGACGTCACCATTGATGAGTTCCACGATAGAGACTTTAACAGTAATGAATGGTACTATTACGAATTCACCAGTTATGAGTTCTACGATAGAGTCTTCAAATGTAATGAATGATACAATACAGACTTCACCAGTGATGAGTTCCACGATACAGTCTTCATCAGTGATGAATGATACAATACAGACTTCACCAGTTACGAGTTCTACGATAGAGTCTTCCCCAGTGATGAATGATACAAAACAGATTTCAGCAGTGATGAGTTCCACAATACAGTCTTCACCAATGATCAGTTCTGCAGTAGAGTCTTCATCATTGACGAATGCTACTAAACAGACTTCACGAGTGATGAGTTCCGCATTAGAGTCTTCACCACTGATGAATGATACAAAACAGATTTTACCAGTGATGAGTTCAACGATACAGTCTTCATCAGTGATAAATGATACGATACAGACTTCATTATTTATGAGATCCACGATAGAGTCTTCCCTAGTGATGAATGATATATTACAGACTTTACCAGTGATGAGTTCTACGATAGAGTCTACATCAGTGATGAATGATACAAAACAGATTTTACCAGTGATGAGTTCCACGATAGAGTCGTTATCAGAGATGAAAGATACCATAAAGACTTCACCAGTGATGAATGATACAATACAAACTTCAACAGTGATGAGTTCCGCTATAGAGTCCTCATCATTCACGAATGATACAATACAGACGTCACCAGCGATGAGTTCCAGGATAGAGTCATCCCTAGTAATGAATGATACAATACAGAATTCATCAGTTATGAATGATACAATACAGGCTTCGCCAGTGATGAGTTCCATGAAAGAGTCTTCCCTAGTGATGAATGATACAATGCAAACTTCACCAGTTATGAGTTACACGATAGAATCTTCATCAGTGGTGAATGATACAATACAGTCTTCAACAGTGATGAATTTCCTAATAGAGTCATCATCAGTGATGAATGATACAATACAGACTTCACCAGTGATGAGTTCTACGATAGAGTCATCATCAGTGATGAATAATACAATACAAACTTCACCAGTTATGAGTTCTACGATTGATTCTTCAATAGGTATGAATAATACAAAACAGACTTCACCAGTGATGAGTTCCACGATAGAGTCTTCCATGGTGATGAATGATACAATACAGACTTTACCAGTCATGAATGATACAATGCAGACTTCATCAGCGATGAGTTCCATGATAGAGTCTTCCCTAGTGATGAATGAGACAATGCAGACTTCTCCAGTGATGAGTGCCACGATAGAGTCTTCATCAGTGATGAATGATACAATACAGACATCACCTTTGATGAGTTCCACGATAGAGATTTTACCAGTGAAGAATGATACAATTAAGAATTCACCAGTTATGCGTTCTACAATAGAGTCTTCAAATGTAATGAATGATACAATACAGACTTCACAAGTGGTGAATGATACAATACAGATGTCACCAGTGATGAGTTCTGCAATAGAGTCTTCACCTGTGATGAATGATACAAAACCGATTTCACCAGTGACGAGTTCCACATTACAGTCTTCACCAGTGACGAATGATACAATACAGACTTCACCAGTGATGAATGATACAGTACAGACTTCACCAGTGATGAGTTCCATGATAGAGTCTTCCCTCGGGATGAATGATACAATACAGACTTCATCAGTTACGAGTTTCACGATAGAGTCTTTCCTGGTGATGAATGACACAATACAGACTTCACCAGTGATGAGTTCCGTTGTAGAGGCTTCATCATTAACGAATGCTACAATACAGACTTCACCAGGGTGGAGTTCCACGATAGAGTCTTCCCTTGTGATGAATGATACAATACAGACTGCACCAGTGATGAATCATACAATACAGACTTCATCAGTGATGAATGATACAATACATACTTCATCAGCGATGAGTTCCACGATAGAGTCTTTCCTAGTGATGAATGATACAATGCAGACTTTACCAGTTATGAGTTCCATGATAGAGTCTTTCCCAATGATGAATGATACAATACAGACTTCACCAGTGATGAGTTCCACAATAGAGTCGTCATCATTGACCAATGATACAATACAGACTTCACCAGTGATAAGTTCCACGATAGAGTCTTTCGTGATGATTAATGATACAATACATACTTCACCAGTGATGAATGATACACTACAGACTTCACCAGTTACGAGTTCCACGATAGAGTCTTCCCCAGTGATGAATGATACAATACAGACTTCACCAGTGATGAGTTCCAAGATAATAAAGACTTCACCAGTGATGAGTTCCACAAAAGAGTCGTCATCATTGACGAATGATACAATACAGACTTCACCAGTGATAAGTTCCATGATAGAGTCTTCCCTCGGGATGAATGATACAATACAGACTTCATCAGTTACGAGTTTCACGATAGAGTATTTCCTGGTGATGAATGACACAATACAGACTTCACCATTTATGAGTTCCATTGTAGAGGCTTCATCATTAACGAATGCTACAATACAGACTTCACCAGGGTGGAGTTCCACGATAGAGTCTTCCCTGGTGATGAATGATACAATACAGACTGCACCAGTGATGAATCATACAATACAGACTTCATCAGTGATGAATGATACAATACAGACTTCATCAGCGATGAGTTCCACGATAGAGTCTTTCCTAGTGATGAATGATACAATGCAGACTTTACCAGTTATGAATGATACAATACAGACTTCACAAGTGATGAGTTCCATGATAGAGTCTTCCCTCGGGATGAATGATACAATACAGACTTCATCAGTTACGAGTTTCACGATAGAGTCTTTCCTGGTGATGAATGACACAATACAGACTTCAACAGTGATGACTTCCGCAATAGGGTCCTCATCATACAGGAATGATACAATACAGACTTCACCAGTCATGAATGATACAATACAGACTTCACCAGTGATGAGTTCCATGATAGAGTCTTCCCTCGGGATGAATGATACAATACAGACTTCATCAGTTACGAGTTTCACGATAGAGTCTTTCCTGGTGATGAATGACACAATACAGACTTCACCAGTGATGAGTTCCGTTGTAGAGGCTTCATCATTAACGAATGCTACAATACAGACTTCACCAGGGTGGAGTTCCACGATAGAGTCTTCCCTGGTGATGAATGATACAATACAGACTGTACCAGTGATGAATCATACAATACAGACTTCATCAGTGATGAATGATACAATACAGACTTCATCAGCGATGAGTTCCACGATAGAGTCTTTCCTAGTGATGAATGATACAATGCAGACTTTACCAGTTATGAGTTCCATGATAGAGTCTTTCCCAATGATGAATGATACAATGCAGACTTTACCAGTTATGAGTTCCATGATAGAGTCTTTCCCAATGATGAATGATACAATGCAGACTTTACCAGTTATGAGTTCCATGATAGAGTCTTCACCAGTGACGAATGATACAATACAGACTTCACCAGTGATGAATGATACAGTACAGACTTCACCAGTGATGAGTTCCATGATAGAGTCTTCCCTCGGGATGAATGATACAATACAGACTTCATCAGTTACGAGTTTCACGATAGAGTCTTTCCTGGTGATGAATGACACAATACAGACTTCACCAGTGATGAGTTCCGTTGTAGAGGCTTCATCATTAACGAATGCTACAATACAGACTTCACCAGGGTGGAGTTCCACGATAGAGTCTTCCCTGGTGATGAATGATACAATACAGACTGCACCAGTGATGAATCATACAATACAGACTTCATCAGTGATGAATGATACAATACATACTTCATCAGCGATGAGTTCCACGATAGAGTCTTTCCTAGTGATGAATGATACAATGCAGACTTTACCAGTTATGAGTTCCATGATAGAGTCTTTCCCAATGATGAATGATACAATACAGACTTCACCAGTGATGAGTTCCACAAAAGAGTCGTCATCATTGACCAATGATACAATACAGACTTCACCAGTGATAAGTTCCACGATAGAGTCTTTCGTGATGATTAATGATACAATACATACTTCACCAGTGATGAATGATACACTACAGACTTCACCATTTACGAGTTCCACGATAGAGTCTTCCCCAGTGATGAATGATACAATACAGACTTCACCAGTGATGAGTTCCAAGATAATAAAGACTTCACCAGTGTTGAGTTCCACAAAAGAGTCGTCATCATTGACGAATGATACAATACAGACTTCACCAGTGATAAGTTCCATGATAGAGTCTTCCCTCGGGATGAATGATACAATACAGACTTCATCAGTTACGAGTTTCACGATAGAGTCTTTCCTGGTGATGAATGACACAATACAGACTTCACCAGTGATGAGTTCCATTGTAGAGGCTTTATCATTAACGAATGCTACAATACAGACTTCACCAGGGTGGAGTTCCACGATAGAGTCTTCCCTGGTGATGAATGATACAATACAGACTGTACCAGTGATGAATCATACAATACAGACTTCATCAGTGTTGAATGATACAATACAGACTTCATCAGCGATGAGTTCCACGATAGAGTCTTTCCTAGTGATGAATGATACAATGCAGACTTTACCAGTTATGAATGATACAATACAGACTTCACAAGTGATGAGTTCCATGATAGAGTCTTCCCTCGGGATGAATGATACAATACAGACTTCATCAGTTACGAGTTTCACGATAGAGTCTTTCCTGGTGATGAATGACACAATACAGACTTCAACAGTGATGACTTCCGCAATAGGGTCCTCATCATACAGGAATGATACAATACAGACTTCACCAGTCATGAATGATACAATACAGACTTCACCAGTGATGAGTTCCATGATAGAGTCTTCCCTCGGGATGAATGATACAATACAGACTTCATCAGTTACGAGTTTCACGATAGAGTCTTTCCTGGTGATGAATGACACAATACAGACTTCACCAGTGATGAGTTCCGTTGTAGAGGCTTCATCATTAACGAATGCTACAATACAGACTTCACCAGGGTGGAGTTCCACGATAGAGTCTTCCCTGGTGATGAATGATACAATACAGACTGTACCAGTGATGAATCATACAATACAGACTTCATCAGTGATGAATGATACAATACAGACTTCATCAGCGATGAGTTCCACGATAGAGTCTTTCCTAGTGATGAATGATACAATGCAGACTTTACCAGTTATGAGTTCCATGATAGAGTCTTTCCCAATGATGAATGATACAATGCAGACTTTACCAGTTATGAGTTCCATGATAGAGTCTTTCCCAATGATGAGTGATACAATACAGATTTCACCAGTGATAAGTTCCACGATAGAGTCTTTCCTGATGATTAATGATACAAAACATACTTCACCAGTGATGAATGATACACTACAGACTTCACCAGTTACGAGTTCCACGATAGAGTCTTCCCCAGTGATGAATGATACAATACAGACTTCACCAGTGATGAGTTCCAAGATAATAAAGACTTCACCAGTGATGAGTTCCACAAAAGAGTCGTCATCATTGACGAATGATACAATACAGACTTCACCAGTGATAAGTTCCACGATAGAATCTTCCCTTGAGATGAATGATACAATGCAGACTTTACCAGTTATGAGCTCCACGATAGAGTCTTTATCAGTGATGAATGATACAATACAGACTTCAACAGTGATAAGTTCCATGGTAGAGTCATCATCAGTAATGAATGATACAATACAGACTTCACCAGTTATGACTTCCATGATAGAGTCTTTCACAGTGATGAATGATACAATACAGTCTTCACCAGTGATAAGTTCCACGGTAGAGTCTTCCCTGGTTATGAATGATACAATACAGACTTCATCAGTTATGAGTTTCACGATAGAGTCTTTCCTGGTGATGAATGACACAATACAGACTTCACCAGTGATGAGTTCCGTTGTAGAGGCTTCATCTTTAACGAATGCTACAAAACAGACTTCACTAGGGTGGAGTTCCACGATAGAGTCTTCCCTAGTGATGAATGATACAATACAGACTGCACCAGTGATGAATGATACAATACAGACTTCATCAACGATGAGTTCCACGATAGAGTCTTCCCTAGTGATGAATGATACAATGCAGACTTTGCCAGTTATGAGTTCCATGATAGAAGCTTTCCCAGTGATGAATGATACACTACAGACTTCACCAGTTACGAGTTCCACGATAGAGTCTTCCCCAGTGATGAATGATACAATACAGACTTCACCAGTGATGAGTTCCACAAAAGAGTCGTCGTCATTTACGAATGATACAATACAGACTTCAACAGTGATAAGTTCCACGATAGAGTCATCATCAGTAATGAATGATACAATACAGACTTCACCAGTTATGAGTTCCATGATAGAGTCTTTCACAGTGATGAATGATACAATACAGTCTTCACCAGTGATAAGTTCCACGGTAGAGTCTTCCCTGGTTATGAATGATACAATACAGACTTCACCAGTGATGAATGATACACTACAGACTTCACCAGTTATGAGTTCCACGATAGAGTCTTCCCCAGTGATGAATGATACAAAACAGACTTCACCAGTGATGAGTTCCAAGATAATACAGACTTCACCAGTGATAAGTTCCACGATAGAATCTTTCCTAGTGATGAATGATACAATGCAGACTTCACCAGTTATGAGCTCCACGATAGAGTCTTCATCAGTGCTGAATGATACAATACAGACTTCAACAGTGATAAGTTCCACGGTAGAGTCTTCCCTGGTTATGAATGATACAATACAGACTTCATCAGTTATGAGTTTCACGATAGAGTCTTTCCTGGTGATGAATGACACAATACAGACTTCACCAGTGATGAGTTCCGTTGTAGAGGCTTCATCTTTAACGAATGCTACAAAACAGACTTCACTAGGGTGGAGTTCCACGATAGAGTCTTCCCTAGTGATGAATGATACAATACAGACTGCACCAGTGATGAATGATACAATACAGACTTCATCAACGATGAGTTCCACGATAGAGTCTTCCCTAGTGATGAATGATACAATGCAGACTTTGCCAGTTATGAGTTCCATGATAGAGGCTTTCCCAGTGATGAATGATACAATACAGACTTCACCAGTGATGAGTTCCACAAAAGAGTCGTCATCATTGACGAATGCTACAATACAGACTTCACCAGTGATAAGTTCCACGATAGAGTCTTCCCTGGTGATTAGTGATACAATACATACTTCACCAGTGATGAATGATACACTACAGACTTCACCAGTTACGAGTTCCACGATAGAGTCTTCCCCAGTGATGAATGATACAATACAGACTTCACCAGTGATGAGTTCCACAAAAGAGTCGTCGTCATTGACGAATGATACAATACAGACTTCAACAGTGATAAGTTCCACGATAGAGTCATCATCAGTAATGAATGATACAATACAGACTTCACCAGTTATGAGTTCCATGATAGAGTCTTTCACAGTGATGAATGATACAATACAGTCTTCACCAGTGATAAGTTCCACGGTAGAGTCTTCCCTGGTTATGAATGATACAATACAGACTTCACCAGTGATGAATGATACACTACAGACTTCACCAGTTATGAGTTCCACGATAGAGTCTTCCCCAGTGATGAATGATACAAAACAGACTTCACCAGTGATGAGTTCCAAGATAATACAGACTTCACCAGTGATAAGTTCCACGATAGAATCTTTCCTAGTGATGAATGATACAATGCAGACTTCACCAGTTATGAGCTCCACGATAGAGTCTTCATCAGTGCTGAATGATACAATACAGACTTCAACAGTGATAAGTTCCACGATAGAGTCATCATCAGTGATGAATGATACAATACAGACGTCACCATTGATGAGTTCCACGATAGAGATTTCACCAGCAAAGAATGATACAATGAAGAATTCACCAGTTATGCGTTCTACAATAGAGTCTTCAAATGTAATGAAAGATACAATACAGACTTCACAAGTGATGAATGATACAATAAATATTTCACCAGTGATGAGTTCCACCATACAGTCTTCATCAGTGATGAATGATACAATACAGTTTTCACCAGTGATGAGCTCCGTAATAGAGTCTCCACCTCTGATGAATGATACAAAACAGATTTCACCAGTGACGAGTTCCACATTACAGTCTTCACCAGTGACGAATGATACAATACAGACTTCACCAGTGATGAATCATACAGTACAGACTTCAACAGTGATGACTTCTGCAAAAGAATCCTCATCATACATGAATGATACAATACAGACTTCACCAGTCATGAATGATACAATACAGACTTCACCAGTGATGAGTTCCATGATAGAGTCTTCCCTGGTGATGAATGATACAATACAGACTTCACCAGTTATGAGTTCCACGATAGAGTCTTTCCTAGTGATGAATGATACAATACAGACTTCACTAGTGATGAGTTCCGCTGTAGAGGCTTCATCATTAACGAATGCTACAATACAGACTTCACCCGGGTGGAGTTCCACGATAGACTCTTCCCTGGTAATGAATGATACAATACAGACTTCACCAGTGATGAATGATACAATACAGCCTGCATCAGTGATGAATGATACAATAGAGACTTCAAAAGAGACTTCATCAGCGATGAGTTCCACGATAGAGTCTTCCCTAGTGATGAATGATACAATGCAGACTTTACCAGTTATGAGTTCCATGATAGAGTCTTTCCCAGTGATGAATGATACAATACAGACTTCACCTGTGATGATTGATACAATACAGACTTCACCAGTGATGAGTTTCAAGATAATACAGACTTCACCAGAGATTAGTTCCACAAAAGAGTCGTCATCATTGACGAATGATACAATACAGACTTCACCAGTGATAAGTTCCACGATAGAATCTTCCCTAGTGATGAATGATACAATGCAGACTTTACCAGTTATGAGCTCCACGATAGAGTCTTTATCAGTGATGAATGATACAATACAGACTTCAACAGTGATAAGTTTCACGATAGAGTCTTCCCCAGTGATGAATGATACAATACAGACTTCAACAGTGATGAGTTCCATGAAAGAGTCATCATCAGTGATGAATGATACAATACAAACTCTACCAGTTATGAGTTCTACGATTGATTCTTCAATAGGTATGAATAATACAAAACAGACTTCACCATCGATGAGTTCCAAGGTACAGTCTTCACCATTGATGAATAATACAATACAGACTTCACCAGTAATGAGTTTCACGATAGAGTCTTCATCAGTGATGAATGATACAATACTGACTTTATCAGTGATGAATGATACAATACAGACTTCACTAGTGATGACTTCCGCTGTAGAGTCCTCATCATTGACGAATGCTACAATACAGACTTCACCCGGATGGAGTTCTACAATAGAGTCCTCCCTGGTGATGAATGATACAATACAGACTTCACCAGTGATGAACTATACAATACAGACTTCATCAGTGATGAATGATACAATAGAGACTTCATCAGCGATGAGTTCCATGATAGAGTCTTTCCTAGTAATGAATGATACAATGCAGAATTCACCAGTGATGAGTTCCACGATAGAGTCTTCATCAATGATGAATGATACAATTAAGACTACAACAGTTATGGGTTCCACGGTAGAATCATCATCAGTGATGAATGATACAGTACAGACTTCAACAGTGATGAGTTCCACGATAGAGTCATCATCAGTGATGAATGATACAATACAAACTCTACCAGTTATGAGTTCTACGATTGATTTTTCAATAGGGATGAATAATACAAAACAGACTTCACCAGTGATGAGTTCCGCAATTAAGTCTTCACCATTGATGAATGATACAATACAGACTTCATCAGTGATGAATGATACAATACAGACTTCACTAGTGATGAGTTCCGCTGTAGAGTCTTCATCATTGACGAATGCTACAATACAGACTTCACCAGGATGGAGTTCCACGATAGAGTCTTCCCTGGTGATGAATGATACAATACAGACTTCACCAGTGATGAATGATACAATACAGACTTCACCAGTAATAAGTTCCACGATAGAATCTTCCTTAGTGATGAATGATACAATGCAGACGTTACCAGTTATGAGCTCCCCGATAGAGTTTTCATCAGTGATGAATGATACAGTACAGACTTTAATAGTGATAAGTTCCACGATAGAGTCATCATCAGTAATGAATGATACAATACAGACTTCACCAGTGATTATTTCCACGATAGAGTCTTCCCTGGTGATGAATGACACAATACAGAGTTCAACACTGATAAATGATACAATACAGACTTCACCAGTGATGAGTTCTAGAAAAGAGTTTTCATCAGTGATGAATGATACAATACAGACTTCAACAGTTATCAGTTCCATGATAGAGCCATCATCAGTGATTAATGATACAATCCTGACTTCGCCAGTTATAAGTTCCACGATAGAGTCTTCCCTGGTGATGAATGATACAATACAGACTTTACCAGTCATGAATGATACAATGCAGACTTCATCAGCGATGAGTTCCACGATAGAGTCTTCCCTAGTGATGAATGAGACAATGCAGACTTTACCAGTGATGAGTTCTACGATAGAGTCTTCATCAGTGATGAATGATAGAATACAGACGTCACCATTGATGAGTTCCACGATAGAGACTTCACCAGTGATGAATGATACAAGTAAGGATTCAACAGTTATGCGTTCTACAATAGAGTCTTCAAATGTAATGAATGATTTAATACAGACTTCACCAGTGATGAATGATACAATACATATTTCACCAGTGATGAGTTCCACGATACAGTCTCCATCAGTGATGAATGATACAATACAGACTTCACCAGTATTGAGTTCTGCAATAAAGTCTTCACCATTGATGAATGATACAAAACAGATTTCACCAGTGATGAGTTCCACATTACAGTCTTCACAAGTGATGAATGATACAATACAGACTTCACCAGTGATGAGTTCCATGAAAGAGTCTTCATCAGTGATGAAAGATGCAATACAGACTTTACCAGTGATGAGTTCCACGATAGAGTCTACATCAGTGATGAAAGATACAAAACAGATTTCCCCAGTGATGAGTTCCATGATAGAGCCTTCATCAGGAATAAATGATACAATACAGACTTCACCAGATATGAGTTCCACCAGAGAGTCTTCCCTAGTGATAAATGATACATTACAGATTTTACCAGTGATGAGTTTTACGATAGAGTCTACATCAGTGATGAATGATACAAAACAGATTTCACCAGTGATGAGTTCAACGATAGAGTCTTCATCAAGGATGAATGATACAATACAGACTTCCCCAGTGATAAATGATACAGTACAGACTTCAACAGTGATGAGTTCCGAAATAGGGTCCTCATCATTCATGAATGATACAATGCAGACTTCACCAGTCATGAATGATGCAATACAGACTTCACCAGTGATGAGTTCTATGATAGAGTCTTATCTGGTGATGAATGATACAATACAGACTACACCAGTGATTAATGATACAATACAGACTTCAGCAGTATTAAACGATACAGTACATACTACACCAGTGATGAATGATACAATACAGACTTCACCAGTGATAAATGATACAATACAGACTTCACCAGTCATGAATGATGCAATACAGACTTCACCAGAGATGAGTTCTATGATAGAGTCTTATCTGGTGATGAATGATACAATACAGACTTCAGCAGTATTAAACGATACAGTACATACTACACCAGTGATGAATGATACAATACAGACTTCACCAGTGATAAATGATAAAATACAGACTTCACCAGTCATGAATGATGCAATACAGACTTCACCAGTGATGAGTTCTATGATAGAGTCTTATCTGGTGATGAATGATACAATACAGACTACACCAGTGATTAATGATACAATACAGACTTCAGCAGTATTAAACGATACAGTACATACTTCACCAGTGATGAATGATACAATACAGACTTCACCAGTGATAAATGATACAATACAGACTTCACCAGTGATGAATGATACAATACAGACTTCACCAGTGATGAATGCTGGAATAGAGACTGCATCATTCAGAAGTTTAATGATAAATGCCACGATAGATACGTCACCTATTATAAATGCGTCGCTTTATACTTCCCCTGTGGTGAGTTTCATGACAGTCCCTTCAAATATAATAAATACCTCGATATTTATTTCACCAGTGATGAATGATATAACAAAGACTTCGTCATTCATTAATACAACAATAGATGTTTCACTAGCATTACCTACATCAAAATTGGAAACAGTATCAATATCAAAGGATGAAACGGATACATCAGTATTTAAGACGTCAGAAATGTCAAGTATTCTATCAGCTACATTTTACATTGGTATATTATCTCATTCAACGTTTACATCGACAATATCATCCGTAGAAACGAAAAAGGTGTCTGGATTGGTAACAATATCACCTTCAGACGTTCTATCGCTTGTATCACCAGAGAAAGTTGTATCTTTCACATCGGTAGTCGAAACAGGATCATCGTCAGAAATTGTGTATTCTACATCGGTAACCGAACCAGGATCATCTTCAGAAATTATGTCGTCTACATCGGTAGCAGAAACGGAATCAACGTTAGAAGTTGAATCGCATTCATCTATTGCAGGAAAAATTTCTTCGTCAGAGATTTCATTAACTATGCTAGTAGTGAACACTGCATCAGTACCCGAAGTTGGTTCGTTTACATTGGTAGCAGAAACACCATCATCTTCAGAAATTGAATCGTCTTCATCTGTTACCAGAATACTTACATCGTCTAAGGTTGCATTAACTATATCATCAGAAAGCATCGCATCAATATCAGGGGTTGGATCGATTCCATCGATAGTGGTGATTGCATCACCAAAGGTTCCATCGTCTACATCAGTAACGATTACAGACTTAACAGAGGTACCTTCATCTACATTGAAGATGAGGATCACATCATCGCCAGAAGTTACATCGTCCATTTTTGTCAGTGATATGGAATCAACTGTTGCATCAGTTAAAGAGATATTATCTTCACCAGTTTTTGTCTCATCTACAACGAATTCATTTTCGTCTGTTTTGCCTTCAACTTCTATGACGCAATCAACTTCAAGTGTGGTGGTTCCAGACAATCGACTTTCAGTAACACTGAATGTGAATGAAAGTGTGGATATCAATAGTCAGGAATTCAAAGACAAGATCGAGAAAGGTATGGCCTATGTCCAACAACTATTAGTATGAACCAAAAATGATAAAATATGAATAAGTACTATTTGTAATTAATCTATTGAAGTTGTACTTCAAAGATAAAATTACCATTTTGAAATTTAATGTATAATTAAAAAGTGATACGGGGGAAACGTAACAAAGACAAGCAAACTAACAACGGTTCACCAAAATGTTATATCTAGATGAACAAAAGATATGTAACATTCATATTTTTTTATTGTCCTAAATCTATGCAAGTTGTAAATGGATTCAAGAGATACGACGATGATCCGACAACCCTTGCTAAATGTTTATGATGTGTGGTTTTAGCATATTCCCAAGAGACATGCATATTCAGAAGACACGACTGTATAAGAAAGGCGGAAGATACCAAAGGGATAGTCAAACTCATCAGTCGATAAAGAACTGACAATGCCATGGCAAAAAACGAAGTACGACCAAAAGACAACCAACAGTCTATAAAACACAACATAGAAAACTAAACCCCACCAAAACCCGGGGTTATCTCAGGTGCTTCGGAAGTGTAGGCAGATCATGTTACACATATGACACCCGTGTATGTACTGTATATAACAAATTATTTCTTATTTTCATTCACTTTTTGTAGATTCACATAGTTTTTTTCATGGGGATTTTATAAGTATTGTAAATCTATATTTAGGTCTTGAGGAGAGTTATATTGCAGCTAGCGGATCACGGAGGAAAAGATCTACCAGAAATAAAAGGCAATCAAACCAAGGTGTTGATGTTAAGGTATGTGTAACATAATTTCCAGTAAAGACACTGAATTAAACTATGGGAGGTATGTTTGAGATGACGTCGTATGCTACTGTATACAAATAAAAGAGGATTTGAGGTAAACAAAAAGAAATTCCTAGTTACTTTGCATTTGGTCCAAGAAACCTTAATATTATTTTAACGCAATTCAGATGTTCAGCTACATTCCTTAATTATGATCTCTTTCAAATAAATATTGTATCAGATCCATCTTGTCGCTGTGGGAATCCCCGCGAAGATTCCAATCATTTCTTCTTTAAATGTCCTTTATATGCAAATTTACGTCACATTCTTAGGAATAGTCTTAGTTGGTTACCAGATGACCTTGTGTTGGATCTAGAGATTTTAATATCTGGTAGTATAAATCTGACGAATGAGCAAAATGAAGAAATATTTAGAAATGTTTTTGATTATATAAAAAAGACCAAAAGGTTCATTGTTTATTCATGTGTATAAGCTGAATGTAGTGATCCACACACACACACACATGCATATATTTTTTCCCTTCTTCCTATCTTTCCCCTTTTCTATACTATTTCTTAATATGTCATTTAAATTACAGATGTTTGATTATATATTGTGTAATAATAAATTTGAAATTTGCATGTTATGAAATTTGATTGTCTAATATTGTATCTTAGGAGAAGACCATCTAAGTTGGACTAACTTGTGTCTTATCCTTTTTGGGAGTTTTTTTTTGCAAATAAAATATGTTTAAACTAAACGAAAAAACACAAAAATACAACAAAACTTAAATGACTTCCAAATGTCAGCAGTCGGTCTGTAAATATTGAAAAATTGTATATTTCAAACTCTCAATAGCTTTGGGTGTGACCATGCAAGCTATGCGGAGACTATCAAGTATCTGCCATCGACACCAAATTCCTTTATGAACAAAACAAAGAAAATCCCATTGTATTGCATTACTTTGTTTGAAATGAGTGTCATGTTTTATCAGCCCCATTCAATTAAGTTGCTGAACAAAATCACTGTAACTTGCATTTTCGTATTCAGGTAACAGACACTCAAAGAACTAGCGGTTCAGATGTCGATGTAAAATTTGAAGTTTACAAAGATGGCGCCGTAGTTCCAGCAACAGAAGCCGAAAATACATACAAGACTTTGTCGGATGTTGAATTGAGTGCTACAATAGGATATCCTGTATGTTTAGTATTCTTCAAAAGATCTTTTTATTATATTTTTCTCAGTTATTTCTGTCTTTTTCATGTTTATATGTATATATATATATATATATTTACATAATATATATTCAAATAATATTACTTTTTCAAAAGGTAAATCATAATTTAGTATAAGTAGTATGTTGTACTCATACCAATTATTACTGTGCACAGCGAGATTACAAGGATTGCAATTATTCATTCACACGTTCAATGGTCGCCATCATGGATTTGTTTGAGTTTCTCAGCTCAAAAGTGACATTATAGTTCTGATCCTATATCACTGACATCGATGAGTTATTTGTTTTACACTAACTACTGAGTGTGACTGAAATGCATGCATAGCTGGATATTCTTACCCTGTCGACGCACCTGTTCTCGTTAGGTTTAAAATAAAAGCGTTTCCGTTTCTTACACTCCCCTGTCTTTTTTTATACTTATATATCTGCTAATGAGATATACTGATCATCGGTATACAATCTGTACATTTATTGTAAACATTTGATTTGTAAAACTTATGTAAATTTAACTAAGTTTATTTTTTTATATCTTACAGGTAGCACAACCAATCGTTGCTTTGTCATCAGCTAAAACACCAGACAGCGGTACAAATTGGAGTGATTTTAATGGACCGTTGATTATCATTCTGATAGCAGTCCCATCCGCCTTAGTGATCATAGTCACCATTGGTTTTATCTACGTACATTGTTACGTTCGCTCATATAGTGTTGATGGTGTAAGTTGTTTTACTTCAGTGTTTTGCAAAAAATCAATATTATGAACACAGACTTAGCATTTTTCCTTAACTTTTTTAATGGAGTAATGGATCAATTTTGTAAATTAGAACTCTAACTATAGAATAACTTAAAGGAAAAGGTAAGATAAGAGCCACATTTGGCCCCTCAAATTGTATTAATAGTAAAACTAGTCAAAACTTTCAAAATTATGTTAAATTCATTGATTTTACAGGTTGAAATGATCTGAACTCCTTACAAATAGTGCAGTATGTCATTTGTGATGTCACTGTTACGTCATAAAAATTTTGAAAACGACATATTTGACCAAAATTGGCATTTTCTGTATATCGTTTTTGGACATGATAGCTATAAGTACAAAGGAGTTTACACTCATAAACATCTAAATGATATATATTTTAAAGCAAAATGCCTTTTTGTTTAAACTAATGGCTCATGGCTTATATCAGTCTAAATATTAATTTCGATACCCCAAAACAGGGCTATATTTTCATTTGTATTGCTGTTTTGCACTAAAGTAAAAAAAGGTTGATATATAATATATATATATAATATTATATTTAGCCTTAATGTAAATATATAGGACAAAATTTTAAACTATAAATATTGATATCTATCAGACAAATATATTATAAACATCTGAAGGATTTGTTATATTTATATTTTTTTGGATTTTCGAATTCAAGGGCCAAAACAGTGGCATTATTACACGCTATTTTTTTAAGTGTTTCTTCTAAATTCTATTTAATTACATATTTTTCTCACATAAAAGATATCAAGCAATTTACTCAATTTATCAACTTCATATGTTTTATTTAGATTCCAGACAGACGTCGATTGGATTTGGAGAGTGGAGAAAGCCTAAGTCGGTCGACTTCTGTGTCGTCTACCTTCAAGCGTCGTACTGTGTCATTTAATGAAGGAGACAATACTCCTTCAGAAAATGAAAATGTTTCATTTATAGATGCATTCGATGTTCACGAGACAAGAGTACAACCAGTACCTAGACCTGTGCTATACCAACCCCCAACAAGACGGCAAAGTTTATATTCCGATAGTTATGATGTTAACGCACAATTACCATTGACACAGCAAGAAAGACAATCAAGTTTTGAAGACAGGCAAACGAAGAGCTTTGAATTACCTGACACTTTTGTTAGTCAAGCCCATTATGAAAAAGAAGACGAGTCCTCTAACAGAAAAAGTGTTGATGAAATGAAGAAGCATGAACAACGACGTCGATATAAAGCAAATGAAAAGACTAAAAAGAAATCCAAACCATTTACACGCCGAGATTCAGATTTCCCAGTTTCCAGTTTACAATATACTCCGATAGAGGATCAACAAATTGATTCTGATTATTTTCATGGTGATTCATTAAATGTAATATCAGAAGAAACTCAAAATCATGACTTAGAAATACAAAGACAATTTGATGATTATATACCATATCACACCCCAAGTTTTGAAAACCAGATACCATCAACCAATCAAAAACAAAATAATCTTAACAGAGAAGCATATCCAATTAGACCAACAGCGCCGCAATATGAGCCGTGTCCGCCAGATTTCAATATACAGGAATACTTAGGTGATAAAAATCATCCTGGAAAGTTGGTGTTTAGTTCAGACTATATTTTTGCAAATGAAATTGCAAATCCGGTGTTCAATCCACGGGAAACAACACATCGATTTCAGGAGAATGAACAAAACATACCGATGTCTTCAAATCACTTTACCCCGCACGAAAGACTCAATACTGATGATGCAGTCTACTTTACACGAAATTATTATCCATCTGATGGGCGTGATTCAAGGCATATCAACCAACATCAACCTACAGCTAATAACAGAATGAGGTATGCAACGATTTATATGTAACGGTGTAAGAGAGGTAATTCAAACTAAAAGCCCGATTGTCACTTTCAAAGTTAACTTGGTCCAAGTCATCTGTTGTCACTATCAAATGTTCTCATCAAAACTTTGATCAAAGAAAAGAACTGCACTGTGAGTGGATAATTCCCTTCAAAGTCCATCCAAGTTTTAAGAAAAAGTAGGAATATTTTCTATTCTATCCAAGTCCGTCAAAGGTCACTGTCAAAATATCCATCAAAACCTTGACCAAGAAAACTTGTACAGGAAAACTTTATTCTTTATTCCAAGTCATTTGACCAAATGTTTTCTTTAATTTTTCATTTTTCTCTTTTCTTGTTGTTTATCTTTATCTTTTTCACTAATTTTCACATTCTGATATATTAAAGAAATGTGTATACGAAGAAAGACGAGGATTTATAAAGGTGAACCGTTTTTTGTAAGTCACTTTTTCTAGCTGTTAAAGAAGGTTGAAGGATAAACTTTGTAATGGGTCATGTATATACTAATCCTGCTTTGCTGTAAGTTTCAAATAAGGTTAAAATACAATCCTACAAACGCTTTTCCCTTGGTGTTTCTATTTTTGCACACTAGTTATTTCACTGAAGATATGTATGTATATATGTATATTAATACATTCTAATGAAAGATTCTTCGAATTTGGATATGTATCGGTGTAGAATTGGAAATTATTGTATTGAACTATTATCCTTGTAAGAAAAAAATGCGTTATAAAACAAAACTTAGCAATCCCTCCAGTTCAGTAAGCATTGTTGGAATATATTTAAATCCGAAATTCAAATACTGTATGACCGATATTGTGAACATGTTTTACTTAGAAGTCCATAGGAAATGGAGGGTTTTCATTTATTGATATCACATTATTTTTCACGATTTAAAAACTAAATAAACATTAACATAAACAATAATAACAAGAATGGTATGTTTCTATTGTACACCGTGTCCCGCTAATAGCATCCAAAGTCTATGTTCAGCGCTGGTCAAAACCCTGATTTCAAGTTGGTATGACCACAACTTCATCATAAACTAATATTTTATCCTACCTTATTTCAAGACTTTAAACTGGTCAGTGAACAGCAACAATTTAGTTCAAAACACTTATTTGGCATTTGTATTAAGAAGTTCACAAAAAAATGTATACTCAGTTTCAGGTTGATGTGTACACAACCTCATGGTTAACTACCTAAAACCTTAAACCAAAACTTGATACGGGACAGACGAACGAACAAACAGACTCACGTACATACCGGAGAACTTAATGATAATGCCTTCCTACAATCGTAGGCTCCGCGGGCCATAAACACGTATATATCAAACGTAATTTTCGTCAAACGACGTGCTTCAAGGAGATTGACTATCAATATGCATTTTATTAGTTTGACAAACGTGTCGTTTCCTCTATGGTATCATAGGTTCTAAGCCAATCAAAAGTATTCACAAGAATGCATACAACTTCTGTTACACAATTTGGGATGATTGTGTCACTCTGATGCCATGATCGAACAGGACTGTAATCATTGGTAATAGCTTGTATTAAGAAAATTTTGTAGATTTTGTTTCTATACTCATCAAGATTAAAAGGTGTAGAGTTGGGTGCTAGAAAACCCCTCTTCGTGTCCATGTGCCTTTCCCACGGCGGGAACCGGTGGTTGTTTTTATTTTTTTACTTTTACTATAGGGTAATTAGTTAAGAGGGAAGATCTTTATAATCTCTGGTGAATTTATTTAACTTTTCTTTTTTATATAAGATATTTCTTTATTTCCATCAATTGCTTGTTACATTGTCTTCAACAAGTCCAAGCTCCTTGTGAAGAATAGATATAATTTACAATTCTATTATATTAATAAATTATAAAACATCAATCTAATAAAAAAAAATTTACATTAACTAAGAATTTAAATTCTTCCAACTTTTCTTACCTTGGGACGATTTAATTGCTTCGGATTTTGTTTCGTATAGAGGATTATCCATTTTCAACATAAAGATGTCTTTTGATTAAGATCGTTGGGTTGTTTCTCATTAATCCGTGTCCTCTCATATCTTCTATTATTCAAATTATTTTTCAATTTCACGATATTTATTACTCTTCTCTGGCCATGGTATACTATATTATCTCCCAGCTCTTCTATAAAGATTGAGGCAATTTCAAGGGGGGATGTCATAAAACTAGCTTAACCGTTCAACATGTTTAAGTCCATATCGTCGCTGGGCTTCCAAAATGTCGTATATGACTTTTTTGGCTAAAATTACTTTTTCACACAAATCGTCTTGGCGGGAGGCAATCTTTGATACTCCAAAATAGCATACAGTTATACCAATCAAAACATTTAAAAAAATTAAGACTTGTGACAAAATTGCCAATCTCAACTGCTTGTAAAGTTTGCTTCCAAAATGTTGTATGTTAACTTGAAAAGTGTTGTATAATGGCTTCGGGAATCAAATACTTGTAAATTTCTATATTTCTGTTAAAATAAGTTTAGTTTTTAAGTAATCCACAAACGTCATAGTTTTTATTTCACTGTCATTTACAAAAATATTCAGGTGCACTTACGACATTTTGGAAGCATGCATTTCAACCAAATTTTCAAAGCCTGATTGTGAGATATTTGTTTGTTGAAAAATTTGTAATTTACAACATTTTGGAAGCCCAGCGACGATATATTCTATCTCGTCTGTTGTTGCCAATGTAACTTGCTGTCTGTTTATGAATATCAAGTGATGCATTTCCTGTCGGTTCCCTTAAATTACATGCATTGATTTCTGTTTCAACTCGATACAGTTTAAGAAATTATCTCTTCTTAGTATCGCATTAAAGGTATAATCAAATAAATTTAAAAGATGATAGCTTGTCGGGTACATATATAATTTATGACAATATTTTTTTAGATTTCTTTGCCAGATATTATTTGCTTTTGTTTATATTACCTTGAAGCTGTATTCTTCATTGTACCGATGGAGATTGGTCAACATCAAGTTCCCAGGGACATTACAAAGGAGTTTCTTCATTTCAGATGTAAAAAGCCAAATTGTATACAGGTTAGATTGATTGGTTGTTGTTTGCTTAACGCACAGTGACAAATATTACATGTGTTTTCAAGTCGAAAACAAATTAATATAATTATCCAATTAATAGGTTCTGTAAAATTAGTTGACAAGGACGAAGAGCACTAATTTTGACTGCAACTGGAAAAGGACGACATGGTAGACATGGACAGACATTTCGCCTTGCAACAGGCCCACTTCACACACCTACAAGAGTTGTTGCAATTATTCTTTAACGTGTCGAGAGCATGGCACTGCATGAGGTATAAGGATTTTACTTCCACGTTTCGACCGGACGTTACTGTGTATTTATACATCCCGTATACTCAAACCAACGTGCCCATCGGCAGGTGTTCTAAAACTGGAGGAGAAACGTCTATGTGATCATATTTCTAGACCTAAGTCTTTCCCCTTTTGTGCGAAATAAAGACAAATTAACTCGATAACTATTATCGAGAAACATTTTTGCAGTCGTATAAAATCATAAATGCATTTAGATTTAACATAAATTTATGTGCATTGTTTTCACTTTCTCTTTCGTTCTTTTTTTATGGAAGAGAGGTGGGGTGGTTGGCTAAACAATGATCTTGTCTTTTAAAAATCCAGATTTGTGGAATTTCTATTATTAAATATTTGTATTTTTTGTACTTATACTAGAGTTTAAGATCAAGTATTTCTTTTAACTTTATTCGTTTAGGGTTTTCGTCAATATATTATAACTGGATGAAATATAGATATAAAAATAAGAAGATATGGTATGCATATCAATCAGACATCTCTCCACCAAAGACCAGTTTACAACTATAGGTCGCCGTACGGCCTTCAACAATGAGCAAAAACCATAGTAATCTATAAAAGGCCCCGAAAGGACAAATGTTAAACTATTCAAACGAGAAAACTAACGACCTGAGGTATGTACAAAACAATAAACGAAAAACAAATATGATATACAGCAACAAACAACACCCACTGAACTATAGGATCATGACTTCGGACAGGCACATACAAAATGTGGCGGAGTTAAACATGTTTGCTGGCGCTAAATCCTCCCCTAACCCGGGACAGGGAAGAACAAACTATAAAAATCAATTGAAAAGAATTGTGTTTAATAGGAAATTAGAAAAAAATGCATGTAGTTATTTTAGTGTTGTGGGTTGTGAATTTGGATACTTGGAAAATTGAATTAAAAAAGGGCTGTTAACTCATCAGATCGATACAAAGCACAAACAAATTAATAAAAACACGAAAGACACAAAGTACAAATCTGAGAGTACTCGCAGTTACTGAAACCAATGAACAACTGATAAAAAATGTATATATCTAAGACTAAAGATAAAGCCTGACACATACGAAATTAAGGAACATATAAGTTGGATGAGAACCAATAGGAATGTCGGTTTTCTTAGGAAAAACACGCCCACCAAATCTGACTCGTGTCATGTGGCCAATAAAAAAAATAAGCATCGTGTCAGTTTTACAGTTCCAACTTCTTGTTTGAATCATTTTTATATTTACAAAGTATAATGTGTCCGTTCCTTTTTCTACTTTAGTATTTTTTATGAAACAAAAAGTTTGACTATATTTCTTCTCAGATTGCTATAACTAACTGTGTTGTAGTAATCTCGGAATTATTTTACTCTGTTTGAAGTCAAATGTTTGGAACCATCTTCGCTACTATGACTTAAATATCTCTATTTTCTGGGCTTCACTTATTTTTTTCTTGGTCAAAAATTTGGTTGCCTCACTGCCTATATGGAAACTATGCCACTTGCCCGAACTTACAGCTCATGCGTTCCACTCAGTATTCACCCGGGCCTACCATCAAAGAATATGATATGAGGACCACCTAGATGGGGTCTTTCATTTCTGTATTCTTTAAATTTTTAGGTAATTGAATTTTCTCTATTCTTTATATTTTTGCCC